AGGTTTTACATAACCTCTCATGAATTTTTCAAAAAGCAAACTAATACCCCAAGTTCCAGACAGGTGAAGGCTGATCAGTAACTATGTTCTTAGTCTCCTCTACTCTTTTTTTGAGATGGAATTTTGCTCTTGTTGCCCAGGCTGGAGTGCAACGGTGCGATCTCAGCTCACTGCAACCTCCTTCTCACGGGTTCAAGTGATTTTCCTGCCTCAGCCTCCCGAGTAGCTGGGATTACAGGTGCCTGCCACCACATCCCGCTAATTTTTTGTATTTTTAGTAGAGACTGGCTTTCACTATGTTGCCCAGGCTGGCCTTGAACTCCTGACCTCAGATGATCCACTCACCTCCTCCCAGTGCTGGGATTACAGACATGAGCCAGCCATCACACCCAGCCTACTTTTTATTTTATTTTATTTTATATGAGTTTGGGGGAAAGCAAAAGTTCTAAAGCTAGAGCTGGGTCAACATTAAGTAAAAATTTGCAGTAGGGCTGTGCAATATCATCTCCAATTTAATTAAACATTCATTCACACCCTAAAACTTGTATTCTTTAAAAAGTAAATAGGTTGGGCGTGATGGCTTATGCCTGTAATCCTAGGACTTTGGGAGACCGAGGTGGGCAAATCATGAAGTCAGGAAATTGAGACCATCCTGGCCAACATGGTGAAACCCTGTCTCTACCAAAAATACAAAAATTAGCTGGGTGTGGTGGCACGTGCCTGTAATCCCAGCTACTCAGCAGGCTGAGGCAAGAGAAACCCTTGAACCTGGGAGGCAGAGGTTGCAGTGAGCCGAGATTGCATGACTGCGCTCTAGCCTGGTGACAGAGGGAGACTTCATCTAAAAAAAAAAAAAAATATATATATATATATATATATATATATATATATATATATGAAATAACAAATAAAAATGAAAGTTGTTTTTGTTTCTTGGGCTACCAATATTTCTTCTAGATGTTCAATAGTTTGACAGAGACTAAGACTGTTTGATATTTTTAAGGTTTGATGAGTCAAGTGAATTCCATAGTAAAAATTTTGCCATTACTCTTAGAGCTTCTATTAAGACTATGTTGCATGGTTTCTCTATTAGTGATTCTGTAAGAATTAAGAACAAATTATTAGAGTGACTCCATTGAAAATAAAACTGGTAGCCTGTTTTATAACTCTATAAAATATTCTTCATATCTCTGCATCCTCTAGAAAGCACATATTTGAATTAAATGTATTTATTGATATTACATTTTACTAAGATGTTCAGGTGTTTCTGTGCTTTCAGAATGCCAGAAATCCAATCAATTACATAGAAATATACAGTCAATGATAGAGATATTTTATCTACATAATGTTAAACACCTGAATTGACTGAACTGAGGCACTCTTTAGGCATTGTGTAGATAGAGCTGAAATGTCACAAATATGATAATTTAAACCATGCCTCTTTTGTACTAAAACAACCAACATAAAAGCAATATATTTAGTCAATCAGATAATCCTTTGGGTTTACACAATTCCAAGCCATAAGTCTGAGTAATTTATCTTACTGAATTTACCCAACATTTAGATGGTTTCCTAAAATATAATTGAATCTCTGAATAAAAGAAGAAAAGATTCTGGGCTGGATTTTCTGCATAGAGACTATAAGTAAAAAACAAATAAGCCAGGAAAAAATTCCCATTTGTCCCTTATATATAAATGCACTTTTACTTCCTTTTCAAATGTAGCTCTTTTAGGCTATGCACATTTGAATTTAAGAACTTGGTTAGAAAGACCTGACCCAGATAAGTATTTATTAAAATGTAAATTAAACTTGCCTAAAAGAAAAAAATGCAGAGAAAATATTAAAATTAAAGTCCTTTGGCTGTAGAAGGTGGAGGTTTGAACCTTTCAAAGATTTAAGAAAGTAACTATTTTGGAAGAACAAAAAAGCAGGTCACTAATTTTGTACAAAACTGGCTCCCCTTCCCCATTCTCATTTCCCGTGATCAAGGGCACCACATTCTTCCAGACTCAGAATCCTCGTGCCATATTCAATTGTCCTTTCTTCATCTTTTCTAATATGTTCATATCACACCCTTTCTTTCTTTAAAACATTTTTTGGTTTACTCTTTAAGCTATCCTGATAGAGAATCTTACTGCCTCATACCTGTATCACTACTAACAACTTCCAAAGTGGTCTTTCTGCCACCAGTCTCTTTCTCTTCAAATCTGCCTCCCCCAACGCTGTCAGATTTCTCATCCCTAAACACCATTTCATCATCGCTGCTCCCTGCTCATCACTCACATTCTTTACTACCTCTGCATTAAGTTCAAATTCCTTTCCTTGCCTGACTGTCTGGATCCTCTACAGCCTTCTCTGTCTCTCTTTCTTCCTTCACCCTCACACACTGCTATCAATCCAGTCCTACTTTTTAACATTCCCCAAAATACGTCATTCATTTCAGACAACCAAGTCACTCCATTCTGTAAGTCCCAATCTATGTGCCCCTTCTTGGCCCCTCTCCAAACCCATACCATTCTCATTCCAGTCACTGCATCTTGTCCTTTATGCATGGAACACCATCCTTCTGGACTTTTACTTTTCAAGTTATCTTCATCTTTCCAGAACCATCTCAAATGCCACCTCCTCCGTGAAGACTTCTCTGACCCCTGTAGCCCAGTAACTTTCCTTCTTTGCTCTGAACTCCCATCCCATCTATAATCAGGATCGAATTACAAGACACATTACTTAAATACACTCCTACTGGCTTATATGTCACCCCGTGTTTCTCAATTAGGGTGTTATGGGTATTCGTAACAAGGAACTTCATTCCTTATTCTTGGATGTCAACTGACAGTGGTGTTGATGTGACAACCCCAAATGCTCAGAATGTATTTCCAAATGCTCTAATTAATAATAATAAAAAAACTCCTTAAAGAAGTTACTATGTCATATATACATTTGCTCAACAAGTAATCTTTGTTAAAGCAGTGAATGTATATTTTTAAGGAAATACCTGTAGTTCCCTTACGGTTGCCAATATATTTTTAAAAATTAGGAAGGAGCCTAGCTAACACTCAGTTGTTAATCATCACTGCACTTTAGGCATCTTTCATGAGGTATTTCACAGGACCTTACACTGATCCTGGATATTGCTATTTATCTCATTTCATAGATGACAAAACTAAGGCTCACAGAGTTCTGCTTATCCAAGAGTTTGAACGGAATCTTGGCATTAAGCCCAAGGTTGTTTGGAGCTAAACCTTTGGCTTTTTCTCCTATCATACAGCCTCTGTAAAGACAGCTTATCAGTAACAGCTTTGAAATAAGGGTGTGAACATGTAACATAATTAGCAAATTAAAGCATGTTATTAATGCTGATAGGTACTAATGACTGTAATGGAAAGAAAGGACATTAGACAAGACAAACAAGTTTTAAAAGATTATAACAGGAATGCAAATTGGCATCTAATAAATGGATTTAATCCCTGAACTTCCTTGCTGCAGACATTAACCTATGTTTGGTGTCTAATTGAGATGTACATATTCTTTACTTTCTTGTTATATTTGTCACCGTTTGTCTTGGAAGATAGTCAGTAGATCTCTCTAAATTTCCATTAATCAAGTTTTGGGTGTTAAATGGCCAAATAAGCCTTGTATTAGGTAGCATTGTGAGATCCAAGGCTAAAGAAACCTGAGCAGACAATAGTTGCTTAGGTCTTTTCTTCTGTTGTCTAGTTAACTTTAATAAGAAATATTGCACAAACCAAGTATCACAGCACCATTTAAAATGCAGTATATATTTCCTTTAAGTTATGGCTCATTATTCATTTGATGCATATCTAAAACACTTAAATTTTTTAGTAGTTTATTTCACTGTGTCCAGTTACAATGCATATATCAGCTAGAGTTTATGAAGTAATAGTGTGAATGATTCATATGTATACTTTTTAGAAAGTACACTCAGTTTCTAGCTATGTACACAGAAAGAACTATATTCTTTGTGAAAAATATGAGAAAATTCAACCCATTTAAAATAATCAGCATGTTGATTTTAAGTTTAGTTTTCTTTTTCAGCTATAAGAATAACTATTTATCATCTATTTATTATGTTTAACAAATAAAGAAATTTAAAGCTAAGTTTATAAGTAACTTAGAACAATTGTACAAATACAGATAAATGTGTAAATGATATAAAACATTTTATTCCTATATAATTTTATTAATCATGTACTCTATATTGCACTTGGTTCACTAGTAAAACCACCATTCAACTAATTATATGGGCATTGAGGTGATCTAAAAGCATAAAGGAATTTTTGGTATGCTTATCAGGAAAAAACAGATTCAAAAAATTCAATCATTCTTTATGAAAAATTGAGCTTGATGTTGGCCTTTTTATTAGAACATTTCCTGAGCAAAGTGCATTTTCAGTTTCTGTATGCTAGGACACAGTGTAGGGAGCTGGAAGAGAGGGTGATAGAATCTTTCCCTACTAAGACTACGAAAAATAAGTCCAGGAACCTTCTCAGGTATATGGCTCCATTGTGAGTAACTGTAGAATGGCAAAGAAAGTTTCTTTCTTTTTTTTTTTTTTTAACTAAACTGTTTTCAAACTATTTTGTCAAATCTTTGTTGTGCAACAGAATTTTTAAAGGTAATTCTTTACCATGCAATAGAATTCTTCCTTACAGAAGCTAGAAATTGTCCAAATATTTTAATAATATTTCCAGAGAGGCACAAACATATTAAAGGTGAATTTCAAGAGTTTCTGTTTATATTTCTTTGTATCTTAATAGCACCTGAACTGATACCTGCTATCAAATTTTCCCTATCTATTTTTAGATCTTCTGTTGCTTTAGAGATGGATTTAATATGTTAGGCAGCAGCTTACACCGTGTAACATTTGCATGATTGTATTTTGGTTTCGCCATCAGCTAAACAGGGCAAAGTTGATCCCATCTCCAAGGAACTCTATCCCACATTTTCTCTGTCGACTTGGAGTTTCAGTTTTGCTTACCTGCTTCCTTGAAGATACTGTGCTGTTGAAACATCTGTTAGAGGTATTTAAATTCAAATTTGTGTTCTGATGGGTTGAGTCATTTTTCCATGTCTTAGAGTTTTCTTTAGGATCCGAAGGAATGGGATTTAAGAAAAGGATTCTAGCTATGAATCCATAGAGGACAGTAGCCAGGATCATTGGCACAACATAAAAGACACCAAAGTCCATTAGGTAAATAGGTGAGTAGTAATTCCTGGAGATCTTGTAGCCACAAGATATCACAATAGTATCTTTGTAGGTGCTAATATTGAGATCCAGCAAGAAGAACCAGAGCATACAGTAAATAGATGTGAACGCCCAGACAAAGATGATAATCTTTTTGGCTCTGGAAAACGTGCAGAGAAACTGGGCTTTGATGGGGTGACAGATTGCTATGTACCTCTCAATGGTAAAGGCTGTTATTGAACAAGAGGATGCATTAATTCCCAAATACTGGAGGTAAGTTATGCAGAGGCATCCAACATAGCCATAGACCCAGGAACCATAGATACTGTCTGTTATATTGGGGAGGCCTGCAGCCACCAAGACCATGAGATCGGCTACTGCCAGGCTCACCAGGTAGCAGTTTGTGGGGGTTCTCATGTGCTTGGTTCTCATGACAACGAGGACTACCATGATGTTGCCCACAATCCCCAGGCCACAAATAATGAGCACCAGTAAGATGGTGACCACCTGGTATTCTAAGGCCACCACTGCTCGTGGCTGAAGCTGTGTTTGGTTCAGTTCAATGACTGTCTCGTTTTCCATCTTTCCTGGGTTAAAGTTTCTCAGAAACACTGACTTCTCAAAACATCTTCTTTCCAGTGCCCACCTTCATTGCAGCAGTTCCGTCCCCCTGTGAAGGGTCATAGTACATATTTATTAACAGTGTTGTTATTTCTGATCAAGTCCCAATCACAAGTAACTCTCACTTCTACTCCTTTCACTTGCCATTTTTCTATGAGAATAAGGCTCACATGTACTTCTGAAAACTTCTTTTATTGCATCTCTAGTGTAGAATGGAGTAACTGTTGTGATCAGCTTACATTAAGAGGGAGAAGTTTCCTCTTAACGGAGAAAAATGCTTAAGGAAAGAGAAACACCAAAAACGTCCTGTTTTGAAACAGTGCCCAATTGAAAAACAAAAACAAAACAAAAAAAAAACTAAACACTATCTGCTAAATGAAAAATAATTACTAACAAATCTCCTAGATGCTTGGCAAAAGTATAATAAAGAAGAAAAAGATACCAGAGGAAAAAGCCAAGAGGCTCAATAATCAAGCCTGTTAAAATTTAGCTGTTGCCTCTTTTGCTCTCAGAGGGTAAGATCGCCTTTGGTATAAAATAGCAAGCCTTTGAGATGACATTTTCCCATGCCCCCTGCCCCATATATCCAAGAGAGAACAGTTTCTTTTCTTACCTTATCCTGTGTAGCGCTGCCTGCTTTTCTGGGTAGATGAAGTAGTAATAGGTCCAAGTTTCTAATCTCGCAGAAAAGCTCGTCTACTCTATTTGACAGGGAGATCACTTAGCAGTGCTCAGTTTTTAAAACTGCAGTTTCTCCAAACCCTCACAGCCCTTTTCAACTAATGACAGACCATACAGCCGCAGCAGAAGCAGAAGCAGCAGCAGGAGCAGCAGCAGTGAGGCTGTCAAATCATAGATCGTCCCCTAATGAGAACATACTCGCTGGCTCTCTCTCTCACACACAGAGACACACACACGCGCATACATTCACACACACTCACAAATGCCAGTCAGTCCTCACTGATTCAGAGACTTCTGCTCTTGGAGGATTTACTGTTAAATGTGTTGATGATACAGTATTTACTTTGGAAAGCTGAAATCATAAGCAAGGGGTCCAGAAGCAGCTGATCTTGTGGTTGCTTGATCGTCTAAGTTCTGCAGAAACTCCAGTGCCTGAGCTGCTCTGAAATATATTTACACTCCTTGCTTGTTAGGACTTTGGGGGTAGCAAATCCTTGTCAGTCTAGACATGGCCCTTGAAGCTTGAAATACCTGTCTAAGCTGAAATCAACCTCTTTCTCTTTTATGAAAACCCTTACACTGAATCAGTGCAATTGGCTTCCTCCTCTCCTATTTTGTGAATGGAAAATGAGTTAAAACTGATTTCAAACCTTTTCAGCTGCAATCTTCTGATGCTTATAACAATTATTTTTCAAAAGCCTCTTTGAGCTAAAAACATCAATTTAAACCTGCACAGAGTCTGTTAAGTTTGTTTTTGAACTCTTGTTTCTGGATGACTTTATAGAATCTCTCTATCAGCCCTGGGTGCTTTTCCCCTTCGCCCATCCTCTGGATTTCCAATCACATGAACCACCTGACAATGTTGTGTCTCAGTTTATTTCTAGGTGGAAAATCATCAAGTAAAAATCTAGACTAGTGCCACTCTGATACCACAACTCTGAAATGAAAATGTATAGATATACCTTTTTAAGAAAAATATTCAGCTTTATTTCTCTGAAGTAGCCAGTGGGCAAATCTATACTTTTTAATGTTTTTTTTTCTTTAATTTTTTATTTTTTTTAAGATAGGATCTCACTCTGTCACCCAGACTGGAGTACAGTGGCATGATCACTGCTCATTGCAACCTCAAATTCCTGGGTTCAAGTGATCCTACCACCTCAAGCTCCCATGTAGCAGAGACTACAGGCACACACCACCACACTCAGCTAATTTTTGTATTTTTTGAAGAGATGGGGTTTTCGGGTTTTGCCATTTTGCCCAAGTTGGTCTTGAACTTCTGGGCTCAAGTGACCCACCCACCTCAGCCTTCCGAAGTGCTGGGATTACAGGTTTGAGGCACTATGCCTGGTCTTAAATCTATATATATATTTTAATGGAAGCTCAGAAAACATGTATTTTTTCTCAAGACACCAACTGAATACATCAAATGCTAATGCTTCTTCACTTTCATCTTATTAACTGACAATGAAAAATATTCTTAGCTAAATTTCCTGTAAGGTAACTGGTGGATTAGGAATAGACCTCTCTGCCAGGTGTGATGGCTCATGCCTGTGATCTCCCAGCACTTTGGCAGGCTGAGGCAGGTGGATCACCTGAGTTCAGGAATTTGAGACCAGCCTGGCCAACATGGGGAAACCCTGTCTCTACTGAAAATACAGAAATTAGCTGGGCATGGTGGTATGTGCCTGTAATCCTAGCTATTTGGGAGGCTAAGGCAAGAGAATCACTTGAATCTGGGAGGTGGAGGTTGCAGTGAGCTGAGATTGTGTCATTGCACTCCAGCTTGGGCAACAAGAGAGAAACTCTGTCTCAAAATAAAAACCAAAACAAAAACAAACCTCTAGAAGAAGTCAATGGAAGAGTTTATTTTGAGTAGACAGGACCATAGGGATATCAAAAACATGCCCAAGGCCGTGTAACAATGAGATGAAGGTGAAGTTCTGGATTATATTGAATGACTCCCACCTGTTGAACCACTGAGGAATCACTGAATTTCTACTTCCCAATTATTTGTAGTAACATATTAATGACCTGTGAGCCCACGGTCAGCCTTCAGTCATGTATAGTTTGGCCTCTCGGTAGGCCCTAGGGATTTAACACAGTTTATTATTTTTTACCTTTCAAAATTGAGAAATTGAATATCAAATTGGGATTGTTATCACAAATATTTGAAAGATCTGGCAACCAAGGGCTTGCATTTCTTCACAGAAATAACCATTTGCAGCTGAGTGGCTGTTGTGGCCAGGAGTTTGTAGCTGTCCCTGGTGCAGGACGTGCATCCTGTTCCTCATGCCATACCACCTCCAGCTTCTCTCAGTCATGCATACCTGCCCTCTGCCACCATTTGAGTTCTGATTCCTGCATCACACCCAAGTTCTGAGAGAGACGGTGGAGCGCACCAGCCAAATGCACATTCTTTACTCCAAGCAGGATTTTTGTCTGAATTTTAATTTTCTCCTCCACCTGGTTTAGCAGGCTGGACAATGGCTGTCCCCTGTGCCTTTCTCCCTGGCCTAGAGGACAGAGATTAGGCTGAAAACCTTGTTTCTTGTCTAGCCTTCTGCTTTTCAGGATGAAAAATGCTTTCTGAAGTGAAGGTGTTTTTCCCTACTGCACCCTACCCTGACCACTTCCAACTCAAAATTCCTCTCCAAAAGTCTTACTTCGTAAAGCCCATCTTCCCATCTTGTTTCCCTAAGCCCATCTTCCCATCTTGTTTCTGGCACTGCTGTGCAGAACAAACCACATCTCCATAAGGAAATCTTTTCTGATAGTCCCAGAAATGGCTCACACCCTCAGAGAAGGTGGGTCAGGTGGGGACTTTTTGAGAGTGAGAATGATAGGAAATGATGATTTATTTGAAGGATGTAAGCAAGATCTGCCTAAGTCAAAAGTATAACATCTTAGAGAATCAGAAGCCACTTTAATATTGGAAATGATTTAAAAATTAAAAAGAGACAGTGTGGAACACACTTTCACTTTGTAAAATCATCACAGTTATTTCCTTTAAAGAAAGACAACTCTGAAATATTTTATTAACTAGTCTCATAAACTTTCTAGCCTGCTGGCAAAGCCTCTGTGAAGAAGAATGGCAGGAAAGAAGAGTGAAGAGATATTACAGAGTGATTTCTCACCTTCACTGTGAAGAGTCAACTCTTTGTCCACTCATGCTTGCTCAGTACTTACTTATTGAGTGCCAATTATTTCACAGGCTCTGTGCCAGACACTGCAGATAGAAATATGAATATGAACAGCACAGAGGAGTCCCCAGCCTGGCATGGGTGACTTACAAAGAGTGCCAATTATACTGCAGTGTGTCAGCTCCTGTAATTGAGGTATGTACACATTTTTGAGGGTGTATAAGGTTAGAAATGACTAATTCCATGCGAAATGGTACAGTGTAATTTTGCAGGACCAGAGAGAAGGTCAACAGGACCAGGTCCAGGATTTAGGAAAAAATTAGCAAGTTGGATAAATAGCCCCTGAGCAACCAGTTGGGGTAGAGGAAAGGTACCATCAGAGAAAATTCAGAGGACGCAGCAGTAGGTGCCTTGTCTTTCCCCGAGAATGTCCCATGCAGGGCCTGAGTCCTCCCTAGGCACAGGGCCCCATTGCAGAGACGCATGCTAAGCCCATGGTTCCTGATTCAGGCTGACAGAATCATTAGTCATTAGTCAGTCATAGAGCACTTCATACTATCTGTGACTTCGGCAAGTCATTGAACTTTTCTGTACCCCAATTTCTTCAATTGTAAAGTAAATAATAATAGAAGCTATCTCATAGGGTTTTTGTCTTTTTCCCTAGGATTAAGCAGAATAATATGAATTAAAATTATTAGAACTAAGCTCACACAAGGAAGGTACTGAGTAAATGTTAGCAGTTACTATAATTATAGTAGAAGAAAATAACTGTTTTCTAATTCTTCTGATTTTTAAGGTATAGCCTTCTGAAGTTGTGCCCACCTCATAAATGGTTTCAAGAAGTGGCAGGTTTATCTACAGGAAGCTACATGCTCGATGTATGGCAGAGAACTGACAGGGAAAAGACAGGAAGACAGGATTCAAATCTATTCAATGATGAAGGGAATGAATAGGGTGACTTTTTTTTTTTTTTTTTTTTTGAAACAATATCTCACTCTGTAGCCCAGGCTGGAATGTAGTGGTGTGATCATAGCTCATTGCAGCCTTAAACTCCTGGGCTCAAGCGATCTTCCCACCTCAGCTTCCTGAGTAACTGAGACTACAGGCATGCACCACCATGCCCAGCTAATTTTTTACTTTTTGTATAGACAAGGTCTCAGTATGTAGCCCAGGCTAGTTTCAAACTACTGGCTTTAAGCAATCCTCCCACCTAAACCCTCCCAAAGTACTGGGATTACAGGCATGAGCCATCGCGCCCAGCTCCATAACTCTTTTTTTGCTCATCAAATCCTTGAAATAAGTCAGGGAGATGAAAATATCCATGCTTATTGTCTCTTTCTGACTGAAATTTTATAGTCTCTGTGCCCATTCTATAGCAAAATGAGTTTTTACCAAACTCTAGCAAAATGAATATACTAAGAGAGAAGGATAAGCATTGTTAATTTCAAATTGGATATTTGATAAGAAATTGATAAGCCTTGTTATTTTCAAATTGGAGTTTGAGACCCAATTTGAGTTATAAAAGTAATTTAAAGTTTTGTGACAAGTGCTTTTTTAAAAATATTTCAGATAATATGGGTATTATTTTATAAACTTCTCGTTTCACTTACGCAAATAAGAAATAATATAATGATTGACACTGAGATAGTGCCCAACATTGTTCACAGAACTTTATAGTAACTCAGTTAATACTCATAACAATCCTAAGAGATAGGTCTTATTACCAACCCAAACTTGCAAATGAGGAAACCAAGGGGTTAAACAACTTCCGAAGGGCAGAGAATGGGTAAATTCTAGATACAGGGCACAAACCCTGAACCCTGGCTCTAAAGCTATGAATTACATGGTAATGTCATATGTACATCTTACTGTGGATCTGGGTCAAAAAAGTTTGAAAGCCGCTATGATGAAGGAAATATGTGAAACTCCTACTGCCCCAGCATCCCTAGCAAAGTGCACTATTTTTGCAGACCCTTAATCTACTGGGTGATCACAGCCAGTTTCAGCATTCAGGCGACTTCTGAATTTTGGCAAAATGATTTAGTCCATTTAAGAATAAGAATAATGTCAATCCATGTGAAAGACTAAAAT